ATATACCAAACCCGAAAGGTGTGTTTAGTTCAACATTTTTTCGACAGGTAAAACATTCACTTATATTCAGTACACTTAGAGGCATTTCCAGTTTTCATATAATAACATAGATCATCATGTCCATTACAATTTTTACAAATGAATGCAAACATATATTGAAAAAATGTGCTTCATTAAATCATTTAAAGCGCTAATGTAGAGGAATATAATGAATTAAGAAACAAAGAAATCCTTTAAAATAGCTAAAAACCATCGTGTAGCATTGTAATTAAACCATGACTGGTGGTCTTCAGCAGCGAAAAATGCTGCTGCCAAAATAAAAAAAAAAACACTAAAAAAACAACTTTGTTTCTCAGATAGTTCTACAACTCAGATCAAGCCTTGGCTTGATCGCGTTTGCGTACTAGCAATTAAAACGGGGTATTTTGTTGATGAATTCCTGTTATATGAATGACTGACTCCTATTTCATAAATGTTACATGCCTGATGAATGTTACATCAAACATAGACACAGCATTGGATTATGTTGTACTACAATTTGTACTTACAATGCTAAACATTTGTTTAAGCACATAAATACGGTTTTATATTATATATGAGGATTCTATGAGGTGGAGAAAGATTGAGTTACGCAATGCAATTAGTATCAAATATATCATTACTATTTTTGCGTCTATATAAGATATTAATAAACTGTGATCAGATTTAAGAAGTTACTTGCTGGATCAGGCACATATGCGATTACACAATACAATGCAAAATACTGCTGTTTCAATCGATGACTTACTCTACTGTCTATCAAAATGTATGCATTCAATAATAAACAAAGAGAAACCGTTTTTACAAGCGGCAGTGAAAGAAGCCACGGGTTGAAAAGCGTAGTAATATATATTGGTATTCCTCAAAATGGAACCGTTTATAAATGTTATTTTCCCTAAGAGCATTAGTTCTTATCAAATCGAAAGAAACTCTTCGTTGCATTGCAGACGTTATGGTTTCTCCCTCAATTTTAATCCAAAACGGAATTATAGATATGAAGAGTCATCAAGTTATTGGAGCGTTAACTGATTAGCAATTATATACTTACTATTTCTTACACTTCTAGAGAAAATATGGAAGATTTAAAAGTTATTTAATGCATTTTAAAGTTAATAAAATTGACAAAAAATATGAAAAATGCAAGCTATTGTTTGTTTTTTGTACTAATGTAATAGGTTAGGGCTCGTCAGTTTGCTCTCTACATATGGACATTGGAAATGGCCATCTGATTTTCAGAGAAAATTAATTTTCAGTTTGTTACTCCATCTTTCTGGGAACGTTTATGAACGCGAGAAGTTCTTCTTCTGTAAATCATGTCCTATAAAATGACTATTAAATTTACAATAGATCGCTAAATAGGAACATTCGATTACTTTTTTAATACATTTTATCGTTTTTTAACAAAAGGAAGGATGATCTTCTTCCTCCTATGATTTTTCCGTACTACCATCTTTCGAAAAATTATTTGTTTCTGTTTTTCAATTTAACCCATTTTGTAAAGCATCCTTTTGAATAAACAGTTCTATTCTACTTTCCTTGGAATGAGTGTGTGTATGTGTGTGTGAGTAATACGTTGAAATGTATTTCGTCATTGCTATTAAAACATTCCGTGTTTTATAGTATTTCAGACATTAAAATTTAATTTCATTATCAAATATATAACACAATAACCAAATAATAATACTTAGTCGTTTGGTATACAAGAAGTTTGACCATTTACACCGCACATAAACAATAAACGCTTTAATTGACACTAAGAACCGACTAAATAAAAAATAGCAAACTTCAGAATAAAGTAGGAAATTCATAGCTATAGAATATATGGGTAAGAGTCCAAAATAGTTGATATACAAGATCATTACTAAGTAAACATTTCAAGATCTCAACGACTTTTAAGATATTCATATAAAAAACTGTTATCCATAACATTTAATTGCCAGCAGCTTTCCGAATTTTAAACTGTATCTTGAGCGACCTTCGCCTGAGAGATAAACGGAACCACAAAACTCCTCGACCCAGTCCCGAAGTCGAACTTCCTCCCCCTCTGAAGCGGATGGAGGGGCACTTGAGGGCCGCGCCACAGTCGCGGAGACTCGAGAGCAGAAATAACTTCGGATTGGATTTGCGTGTCGGCGTCGGAAGGAGAGGTGAAAGTGGAAGAAGATGCCGAGGTAGAGGAGGGGACAGAAAAGGAGAGTTTCATTAGAGGAGGGAACAAAAGGGGAGGCAGTTGCGGCAAAGAAGATAATAAGACATAAATGAAGAAAAAAAGAGAGAAGTGAAAGAAGTAGAGGCAGATATGCAGGAGGAGGAATTGGAAGAAGAGTTGTGGAAGGTGGTGAACGAGGCGGAGTAGTAGCGGAATATGAACAAAGGAAGTTACGGAGAAGGCAAAACAGATAACGTAGATGGAGTTGGGGGGTGAATGTATAAGAGCACTTGGAAACAGGCGGGAGAAAAAAGAGATACGAAGAAGGGATGTATTGTATACAGGAATAGTAGGAGATGGAGGAACAGCCTAAAAGTGGAGGCAGAGGCAGAGGTTAAAGGAGAGGTGCCAGAAGAGCAGGAAGAAAGCAGCGAAAAAATCGGAGGACGTGGAAGCAGATGATGCGAGATGCTTTACACACGATGTTAGTTTACAAGCCGCCAGAACTTGTTCACAGTAGTACACCTAATCGCGTCGAAAGCGACCTTGAGGGCAGTACTTGCGTCCTCTGACGTAGAGGAACCTTTCTTCACTCCGGGCTTTCTAAGCGTAAGGTCTCCCTGTTTGGCTTTTGGGGGCCTACCAACTGCCGAATATTGCCACGGAATTGCAACCTCTTCATGGAATGCAAAGATGGTCGAATGTCAACGATGACGAAGATTATTATGGTATGGCGGGGAACTTTCCCATTGGTTTACGATCGTTATGGTGCAGGAACTCACGACAAAGGTTTAGAGCATGCGCAGTGAATTTTCTGTTCGCATCACGTGTATCATGAGCTGCTAGCGGGTTGGTGTCAGTTCATCAAGGCTAGTGTTCGGAACAATTAGAATTTTTAATGGATCATACAGACTGAGTGATTTGCTAATACGTTATCTTTGTTCGATACAGTCTCCCTCACCCTTTATCCCTCTCCAATCAGCAGCTAATGAAATTAAATACGTCACTACTGCGCATGTGAATACTATCGTTTGGGTTCAACTGGATTCAGTTGATCGTTCCCACCTACAACCTTTATAAGTTCAAAGGACAAAAAAAGAGAAGGTCGAAGGAAGACAAAGCTGTGGGAACAGGCATAAGAAAAAACAAACGAAGGGGAACGAGGAGGTTGAAGGCGATGTGGAGAAAGCTAGAGACGGATGACGCGAAGAAGAGGAAAACGGAAAAAGAGAAAATGAAAAGGAAATGCAAATGCTTCGTAAGCCGGCGCTCCTCTTGCAACACTTCCGGTCACCAGAGCTGTTAGGCGCGTACGTCTTTTGGCTCTATCCGAAAACCACCCACCCACCGAGAGAGAATGGAGAGAGTTGAGTTGGAACCTGGTTTAACACCAGACCTCGGTCGTTCTTGGACTACTCAACTCCTCCGCCCGATGAATTTTGGAACAGACAGGGCGTTCCCACTTCCCGGTCTTAGAGCTGAAGAAGCTCTGAGGTTGTTCACGTGAAAGATAGCAAAAGCCGTTGGAGGAAGAGAAATACGAAGAGGCAGAACCTAATTGATTAATTAGTGATTCCAGGCTCCCCAACTGCCAAGGCCATTAGTCACCTAAGTATAGGAAATGTTTCTTTTATCGCGGGAGACGATGGTGATTTTCCCTCACGGTTCGAGAGATCCGGTGCCGAACTATGTTGGGTTAAGGGGATTTTCCCCAACCAGGTATCTCCCAGCAGCAACAAGCTCTAAGCTCCCGACTGGTCTCCCGACGAGCGTGATAGTGTAGTGCATGTGAATGTGCGTAAGTAAGGAGGAGGAAAGGTGAAGTAAAAGGAAGAAAAGATCGCGCGTGGTCCATGACCCGTTTATTAGGATACAGCTCTGGCATTCGCATTGTGTTGATGGGAGAAACCACGCAAAACTACCGATCAGAGCAGCCAGTTGCAGCAGTTCTCCTGTAGGCAACGGCTGAATTCGACCTAGCTGACAAGCTAGGATAGGAGGAAGCGGCGGAGTCGGGCGCGAGGCGAGCTACGCACCGGAGTGGACGCCGATGCGGACCTGCAGCTGCGTGTCGGGGCGGTGCGCGATGGTGAAGGCGCGCACGGCCTCCAGCACGGCCAGGGCCATGAGCGCGATCTCTCGCGCGTGCTGGTCGCCGTTGCGCTCCGGCAGCCCTGACACCACCATGTACGCGTCGCCGATCGTCTCCACCTGCAACGGACGCCCCCGCTCGCCCCGACTGGCCTCCGCGCAGCCAGTACTCGGTTTAAACCAGGTTTAACCTGAGTTTAACTCGGTTTAAACCAGGGCCTTACAACTCCCATATAACGTTGTGGAACCCAGTAGGTGGCGTGCTCTGCTGGAGCACCTGCTTACAGGAACTAAAAAGCGAACTGCTGCCAACGATACTTGAAACGTGCGTGGCTGCTGCGTGAGTTCGCGGGTCGCAAGCAAGCCCGTAATTTTACAAAATATAGCGCCGATGTTCGCGCTTTCTTCAGGGGTTTCTTTAATGTGTATATTGTGAATAGTTGAACATTTAAAAGACACTTTTCATATTTCCCACAAATTAGCCCATTTTTATGTGTGGAAGTTGGCGAGCCTAACCTGCAGCTGTACCCGGCGACATTAGCGCGTCCTAGCACTCTCAAGCTTTGTCGCCTGGTTTGTTGGAGAGTTGCAAGGCCCTGGTTTAAACAGAGAATACAGTCAACTTTTGCTTTTTCTAGTTCTCGAGTGGATGAAAATGTCCACAACGCCTTCCAGCTAGTGATCATCAAGGGGCACACTGTTTAAATTGGAGAAAACATTCAGATGGTTACATTTACTCCGGATTTAACAGAGTTTACGATAAATGTTAGGTATTGGAGCTCCCGATTGGATAATAATGCCCCCTTCTTCCAGCTCGTGACCTTTAAGAAACACACTTTAAATCGAGAATAGGAGGTTACATATACTCCGATTTGAACCGAAAGTACAGTAAGAGTTTGGTATTGGAGCTCTCGATTGGATGACGATGTCTCCCTCTTCTTCCAAAGTCGTAACGAAGCTCCTAATTGGATGACAGTGACTCCCTCTCGTGCTAGCTCGTGACCTTGAAGAGACACTACATTTAAATCGGAGATTTGTTTTAGAACCCCGAACGAGAACGTAAAGCCAGGTATGTCAAGGACGCGTGCAAGATAACTACCTTACTAGAGTTAGCGGACGGTGCATCCTGAACAACTGCCACCTGTGTGCACCTGAACAACTCCACTGAAGCATCGCCGTACACATTTTTCGTCTTTCCTGAATGCGAATGATCTTTTCGCTTTCTGCATTCAAGAATTCAATCACACAATGCGGTCTCTTGCGAAAATCGACGACAGCCATTTTTCAAACGACTGCTGTGCTGCCATATGTTGACGAAGAAAGTTACTACGGCGGTGGATTGTAGAAGGAGGTTTGAGTAATTGTGCCAAATTCAAATTTTCACTAACTATTTTATTTAAGTAGAAAAAAGGAGGCTCTGTTACTTTCTGACTGTTCCTTGTCACGAGAAGCTGATGATACTGCCCTGTATCGGAAGGTATTATGTTTCCTTTGGAAGGGTGAATTTGCATCAGCATACAGAGTAAACATAATTCACACTGTACACTACATACAGTTTTTTATTGTTTTTGAGATAAATTAAATTAAAGCCTCTTAAAAACTTACCTTATACACGTCGTAAAAGCCTATGATGCGGTCAAATGTACTGTACAAGTCGTTCAGGAAATCCACTACCTAGATCAGAAACAGAAAGTAAGATCATAAATTAGGCCAAACATATGTCGTCAATTGTTTACTATTTTAAAAATAAATTCTATTAAAAATTACGAACGAACTATTTCGGATTTTAATGATCTCGCGTGTAAGCGGAGTGGCTTCGCCGCCCTAAACGCCTTTCTGCGCATACGCTCGCTCGCTAAGAGTGCCTTCACACGGAGCCACTCGGTGACGTCACCGAGAAGCGGTAGAGCGCGTCAGATCGTACAGCCACCGCCAACCACCACTGACCGCGAGCGAGGACATTTTGGCGAGTCACACCACTGTGGGCTCAGGGGTCCGAAAAGCAGGTAGCATTCAAAAACTGCACGCGCGCGTCCCTCGGAACCGCTGATGAGTGGCACCGTGTGAAGGGGCCCTAAGTGTCCGTCAAAGAGAAGCGTGGGTAACTCGTTTCGGAGCTGCTGCGCTCGCCCCCTGCGCGCCCTGCTGCCCGCTCACCTCCATGGGCGTGCTCTGCGCGCACAGCGCCGTGAAGCCCACGATGTCGCTGAAGTAAATGGTCACCTGCTCGAACTGCTCCGGCTGCACAACCTCCCCCGCCATCAGCTGCTGCGCCACCTGCCTGCGCACGCGCACGCCTTCATGACACACACTCGCCTCACGCCCCTGCGCGCTCCATTTATTTAATTTATTTATTTATTTTAATTATTTTATTTATTTAAGTTATTTTATTTATTTATTTATTTATTTAACAACACGCGAACTGTCAGAACGGGAGATGGGAGGCCTGATTCAGGCGGTAAGTGGATCATCTAGACCTCCTTGGGACGGGAGAAGGACTCACCGAGGCAGCACCTGGTACAGCAGCTCCTCCGAGCGCCGCTTCTCCAGGCTCAGCTGCTCCGTCTTCTCCTCCACCAGCGCCTCCAGGTTGTTGGCGTACTGCTCCATCCGGCGCAGCAAGTCGTCCATCAGGCTCTCCCCGTAGCCCCTGCGATGAGCCACACGCCCAGAGGCGAGCAGGAATGAGCAAGCACATGCAAAGCCTCCTCACTTATGTCCCAACGAGCCTACAGCGGTGAACCGCTATTACCACATCGCACCATGTACAGACTCTCCCCAACGCGAGCGGCAGGCAAGGATGCAAACATTTCGGGAGCAACCTCCTAAACCGCTACCGATTGCAAGGGGTCGTAAATATTGATCAGGAAGTTTTCACTCGCAGAATCCCGCCGCCGTTACTGCCGTCGCTGGAGGAACGTTTGAACCATGGAGTGCTGTATTAAGAGGCCGTCATCTCTGAAGATGCTCGACTCCCATTGAAATTCCCATCACCTGCCATATCGAGTTCTCTCTCTCTCTTTCCCACTCCCTTTCTTTCTCTTTCTTTCTCTCTCTTCCTGTTTGTCTAAAGTAATAAAGGGATACAATAAAATTAAATTAAATATTTTCACTTGGCAAGCTCTCCCTTACCCTCGATTGTCCACATACCATTCACCCCAGCACTCCAAGAGATGTGCCTCCCTAGGAATAGTCTGAAGTCAGTCAGATTCCGAAGATGGCACATCACACTATGCTTGCACCGCTTCTTGTTCGTATCGCTCCACTCCACAACCTCTACTGCCCTAATTCGTCCCAATCGTGTGAACACATTACCCCCTTATTGACACAATCATGGCAACCGTCCCTCACTCCAATCGCTTCCGTCCAAACGGCTTAGCACTCCAGTTCCAGCACGATTGCCTCTGACCCCCAGATCTAGTCTCGACGCTCTTTACCCCGCCCCAACATTCTTTAAAACTCACCCGCTCTTGGACTAGAGTTTACTCAAGAGCTTTTCACCGAACTCTTCAGACTTCTAGTCGGTGGAAACGGCCTGGATAACAGCGTGCCAGAGGGTGGATAACAGCTTGCCCGATACCCAAAGAAGAGATAGGGGCGACAAAACGACACTCTGGAATGACAAGCTTACAACCAATATTTCAGTCGTTTCAGGTGATTAAAGGTGTACGTCAAGGTTTCATATCGTGACCTATAGTATACAGACATCTCTCCACCTACAGTAGTGATTCTTACACTAACGTGCACTAAACATACACTGTTCCACATGCCGGGAGACCGGTTGGGAGGTTAGAGCTTGTTCCAGTTTGGGCGGTGCCCCGCTGGTGGGAGATACCTGGTTGAGGAAAACCCCGCTAGCCGACGATCTCGCCATACAGAGGGGGAAGAACACTGCCACGAGCAAATACACTACACTTGAGTAGTTGCTGGGGCAGGAATTATTAACAATCAATCAATCAATCAAAACAGTTGTGATATTTACAATTGATATTGGTCTACAGATTGCAGTACGTGTATGTTCTACGTGTAACAGAATCCAGATAGAAACTTATCACACCAACAACTCATTTTTTCTTGGGTTTAGTCAGTTGAAACCTTGTCATTCCGAAGGGTCGAACTATCGAGGAGAAATGACGCCGCGGTGTTGGGCGGAAAGCTGAGCAGCGCGAGCGGCGAGGGAAGCTGTAGCGGG